GCTCTCTTCTACTTCTCCTCATCCTCCCTCATCTTTCTTTCTTTCTTTCTTTCTTTCTTCCGAACCATGACTGGCGTCCCAAATTATTATTATTATTGAAAAAACAAATGATTGACAGAAACCTTCCAATATTTTCACACTTAGAGAAGAGCCTGATTTAAGAAAAGGAAAAGATAAGAGAGAAAAAAACACTGTATTTAATAATGTTTAACAATGTCTCGAGAGTATGTCACTCTTCAAGTTATGTTTAAAAATTGCATGCATGGATAAAAATATTTTTTTAAAAAAAGTACTAGTTTTTGTACAAACATCGCTTGTCTTGAGAAAAATGGTCTTTACTGGTAATCATCGCGACAAAAAGGGATGAAATGCAACGAACGTAAATGGAATATTAAACTAATTCCAAACTGAAATATATTTTAATCCTCGGCAGAGAAAGTTTGATCCACGACGTACGTATAGAATCTCATCATTTCTTACGGGTAGCACCATTTTCGTAATAATTCATAGCAGTAGTATTTGTACATTTGGTTTTTGACGATAATTTTCTGCTTCAGCGAATTACCGATGTTTCACAATCACGATAGAAAGAATTCAGAATTTTTTTTTTTTTTTAAGAGCAATTAGAATTTTTTAATGACATTTTTGAAAAGCCTCAATCAAGGATCATCTCGATTTCCGTCAGCGTTGATAAAATGAATCTTTTGGTTTTTTTGGCTTGTTTCCCACTGTGAAAAAGTTTGTTTTAAGTGAAGCGGTTTAAAAAAATGGCGGCCGTTTTGAATGTTGAAACAGCGGGAAGCTATTTAAATTCAAAGAGGCGGCCGACAGCTCTTGTCTTTATTTGTTTTTATTTGTTTTTTTTTGTTTTTTTTTTTGTTTTTTTTACTTTAACATGTTAAGAAAGAGTTTTATTGATAACAGGATTAATGTTTCCTACCATTACCAGCTTTCATGCTACGACTTTTAAAGAAATGAAAATTACTGAAACATTCTCGGCAGTCGTTTCGTTAAACAAATTCATTTTTTCTCGACTTATCACGCGTGTAGACGTATCAATCTACATAATACATCCTCATACACATGTACATATGCACTCAAACATACATAAAAAAAAAACACACTCATAAATATGTGGATATGTTTCCTTGAAAACGAATGTCAATTTAGATAGACAATTTCCTTCTACTTGTATTATTTACATTATTAGGACTGCTATCCTCATCTTCATCGCCATATTCACAACGTTTAGGCCGTTGCACGCTCCGGCCTTCTTCAGGTGATCGCAATTTCGAACCGAATCCTTTATTTCGGCCACCGGGGTTCTAGTTCCACGTGCCATGCCTCTTCCGGATGTTTCAGTTATTTCCCTTTAACTCAACTCTTCGAGTTTTTGGTTCACTACTCCTGCGGCCTGGTATTGAACTCGCAACTCTGGGACACATGGCCCAGTTGATAAAGAAGCTGGTTAGATCCAGTGACTAGACCCAAAGAGTTGTGAGTTGAAGGAAAATATATGAACAGTGTAAAAAGCAGATACGAAGGACAAAATAAAAAAAAGGGAATCTTTAGTAACATCAGCAATTGAGATCATCCCAAAAGAATATAGACGCAATTAAAAAAAAAAAAATGAATGGATGACAGATGCAATTCTGGACATTGATTAAAAGGAGACAAAAACCAATGCCAAGACACCGAACAGAATATAGAACGCTACACAGAGAAATAAAGAACAAATGCAGAGAGGCTAAAGAGGAACGTCTCAACGAAAAATGTGCAGAAATAGAAAGAACGAGTAACACAGATAAAGGAGGCATGCATAAAAAATAAGGGAACATGCTCATCAACAGGATGCATAAAATTCAAGGACGGAACGCTGGTATTAAAAAAAGAAAAATACTTTAGAGATGAAACTTATATAACGGAGAACTCTTCCACGAGGAAAGAGAACCACCGGCAACACACAGAAATATCGAATGACAGGAAATAGTAAAATTTGAAGTGGAATCTGCACTGGGAAAATTGAACAGAAACAAAGCGGCCGGGCCAGACGGATTGTACTAGAGATGTTGGCAGCCTTACATGTTTTTGGCATAGTCAAGATTACACAAATAATAAATGAAATCTACAACAGTGGTGATATACCGGAAGACCTAAATAAATTTATTTTCATAGCAAGTCCTAAGAAATCAGGTGCAAAGGAATTTGGACAGACTAATGAGCCATATAATAAAACTTATCATCCGAATTCTGATGAATAGAGCATGCGGGAGAATCAGACCGAAAATAGGACAAGATAAGTTCGGGTTCATCAAAGACACTAGAACAAGGTGTCTCTTTAGGTATGCATCAAGGTTCTTCATTAATAAACTCCATAATTCACAGGATATTGCTATTAGTATGTACCAATCATACAAGTTACCTTCAACAACATAGGAACAGGTGTAAAAACAACAAAACAAAACAAACAAAAAACGAATTTACCTTTTACATCCGCTACGATGCCACTATACTTGGAGAAAATCTATAGACACCCACTAACGTGATACGCGGAAAACCACAAAATAAATACTCGTGTCGTGTTTCTTCAGGACGTAGGCGATCATGGTTCTCTACAACTTCCTATCCATTGTAGCTCTTAGTAAGGTTTGTATTTTCAACATCTCTCGCAGTCCCCTTTCTGCCATACACACGCTTCTTAGGTAGACATTTTACGCTTTCCTTTTTCCGTCTTGTCATCAGTGTGTCCTGAGAGTCTCAAATTCTCGAATCCTTCTTTCCTCATTATGGGCTTTTAACTCTCTCTTTCAGATTCTAAGTATAAGCATCCCTTTTGTTTCCATTTTCCTTAAAAGTTCCTCGTTACCTACATGTTCTGTCCGTGATATTCTCAGCATCCTTCTGTAGGAGCAGATTTCTGTTGCCTTAAGTCTTTTCTTCATATGTGATAAAATTGTTTACCATTCATTGACCGATAAACTGCATCCGCGTCCTAGGTAAGACGATAAACTATGTCCAACAGCAAGGCCTCTGATCAGGAGGTTTTGACGAGTGTGGAACCACCTCTAAATTGCTGGTGTTCCCAGGTCCACCCTGACCCGGGGTGGTAGCACTTGTTAGGGTCCTAGCTATGGGCAAATAGTTAACACTCAGACTACATCCGCGTCCTGGATATGACGATAAACTACATCTGCGTCCTGGGTAAGACGATAAACTACGTCTAACAGCAAGGCCTCTGATAATACGTTTTTGAGAAAAAATAATATTGCCACCTATACGTTTTTTTCTCTTTTTTTTGTTCTTTTTTTTTTTTTTTTTTTTTTTTTTTTTTTTTTAAAAAGTAATGTTGCCGGCTATACGTTTTTGAAAATATAATATTAGCAACTATACATTTTTGAGGAAAAAATATTAACAGAAATAGATTTTTGACAAAACAAAAATATTACCAGTAAAAAAAAGTTGTCGGCATTAAATGACCCATTGTGGTTGATATGCCGTAAAACAAAACAAACCAAACCATTCATTGCTTTTTTGTTTTGTTTTTGTTTTTAAATAATTTCACCCTAAGCAAGGTGATAATGTCACTAAGACGCAAGGAGTTACTGAAAGCAAAAAAAAAAAAATGAGAAGACTTTAGGAGAAGTAACCATCCTAAACAGGAAATAAGGGATAACCCTCTACACCTGTTCAAAAGAGGAGGAAGGAGTGTGAATCGAGCGATAGGCGAACCTATCGAGGAAAAAAGGGACAAACACCTAATCCTGTGTGTATGACAGATATGGTGTATGAATCGGACTATAGGCGAACCTATTTGCCATATAAAAAGATTTATATCACTTTTGTGACAGCAAATCTAACGACGAATTCTCCTGCGAATGGGGGTGCGGGTTCGAATCCTACGCGTTTTTTTCTTCAATAAGATTTCTCTAATATTCAGGCCGGTAGACGAAAATAAACAATTATTCTGTTTAATAAATAAACGGAACGTCTGCTCAAATAATGTTTAAGTGATAAAAACACGTAAATATACAAGAAAATTATTTCGTGAATAAAAACTTTATTTTACCCTTTAATTCGGCATAATTTATCTTCGTATACGATCTCCGTGGTTTACGTTGTGGGGCAAAGTTTAAAAAACACTCTCCTTAAGTCCGGTCATATCCGATACTCGGACTCCTTAACTGAAGCATTGTTAGAAAACATTGGGGGGGGGGTAGATCGATTTACTATGAATTTCTATTGCCCACAGACCGGGCCCATAAACTTGTAAAGTACCCGCATGTATATATATTTATTCATTTTATGTATCTTTATATATATATATATATATATATATATATATATATATATATGTGTGTGTGTGTGTGTGTGTGTGTGTGTGTGTGTGTGTGTGTGTGTTTATATATTATAATTAATGTCTCAATATAAAATTAAAATTTGAATTAAAAGTTTCTTGAATTTTCCATGTTAAATTTGTTTCTTTTTATATATGAAACTTTTATCAGGCTGGGATTTTGTCTACTTTTTGGATAAGCGGCTGGGATTTTGGCCACTTTTAGTATTAGAGTCTGGGAATTTGTTCACCTTTGGGATAAGCGGCTGGGATTTTGTCCACTTTTGGCATAAGCGGCTGGGTTTTTGTCCACTTTTAGGATAAGAGGTTGGATTCTTGCCCGTTGTTTTTTTGTGAATGTTTCACGATAATGTTCATCACTTTTGGCGGTCCAAGGCTATAGAACCCTGTCTGTGGTCAGTTATGTGCCATGCCTGATACACGCTTAGGCGATCATGTATCTTTCGAGGCAGATTTTTTTCCTCAGTAGGTTGCAGTAGGCCTATTATAGTTCCCTTGCACTGCTTCGCCCACTAGACATTCCATTTTGCACGTGTTAGTTTCCTTTATTACTGAATAAAGTCTCTTATTTCTTTCATGTTCTTTGACACTGATCTTCAGCCAGCCTTCTGTAGTTTTCGGGTATCTTTGCATACGGATTGTTGCG